CATTTTAGTATAAAATATTACTTTTGTACCAACAAATTTGCAAAATCCAACTAAATCAAATACATTATTGCAGATAATTGTAATAATAACAATAATAATAAATTATATCTTAAATAATATATAATTACACAGAGACACACACACACACACACATATATATATACAGACACATATATATATACAGACACACACACACACACACATATATATATATATATATATATAGTGACTTTTTCGACAATTAAGCACGTTTTTGTCCGTCACTCAGATGTGCCCTTCGTACTGTCCACTGACCTCAGAAAGAGCTCCCAGAGACACTTCACTCGCTTCAGATGAATCCAGCTCTCAAGAGTGCCGGGACGCTTGTCGAGGTCACACGTGTGTCATTCCAGCAAATGGACGGAAGACGACATCGCTCCCTTTGCTTCCAAAGGGACGAACCGGTGGAAAGTTTTGCTTCCTGTCTGCAGTTGCACTATTAATCTGACAGAACAGCATTTACCAAGTAATTTAAGACTGCAGTCTTCCTGGACAGAGTTTCCATTACTAGAGATAATCATATTATTGTGACGTCTCAGTTTCTGGATACTGTAAAATATACATAACTGGAGCTGCCAGTACATGTACAATCAATCTGACAATCAAATAAACCATTAACCATTTTAAATAATTAAAATAAAGCATAATATATTAATTTACAATATTGAAATAACAATAATTATATATAAAATATTTAATATATTACAAATAATTAAAATACTAATTATTAATTCTATTAATTTGCAATAATTAAATCAACAATAATAATTGACAACAATGAAACAATAATAATCCATTATATATATATATATATATATATTAGTTAAAGTACTAATTACATTAATTCTCAATAATGAAATACCATTAGAAGTAGTAGTAGTAATAATAATAATAATAATTTACATATTTATATATTAAATGAATGTATAAAAAACATTAAAAGCATTGTAATATAATAATTTGCAATAGTTAAATACCCATATGCCAGATTAATGTGAAAATCCAACATAATCAAATAAACAATTATTGCAGATTAATAGTAATAATAATAATAATAATAAATATATACAAAGCATGTAAAATAAATATATAAAGTTAACTATTAAAATAATTATAATATATTACGTTGCAATAATGAAATGCCTTGATGTCAGATTAATTTACATATAAAATATTTATGAAATAAATGTACAAAATAAATAATTATAATAATGAAAATAAATGAAATTATGAAAATATAATGAAAATTCATTAGCAATTATGCCAGAATATCGTTTTCTTCTGTGAAGCTCTAAATGAGACATTAGGCAGTATGTGCGAGCTTCTCTTTTCAAGGACAATAGATGCAGATTTATTATTTACCTAATTTATTCAATACCTATAAGTCAGATTAATGTATATATAAATTATATATTAAATTAAATAAGCACGGACAACCCTGGAGTTTCATTCGGGTTTGACTGATGGGCCTCACAGGAGCCAATCATATGACTGAAAAAAAACCCAGAAAATCCTTTACATTTCTTCCCAATTTGCTGCGGAGTTTCCCTGTCAGTGAAATGTAAATCAGCATTTTGTGATCTGGAAACATTATTAGTAGGGCTGGGTAAAAAATATCGACATCTCGATATTAATTGATTCTCATTTTTACGGAACAATACCGATTCTTAAATCCCAAGAATCGATTAGTCTAGCCTGTTTTCAGTTAATGGACGGCACATTGAAGGGCA